AAAACACAGTCACAGTTGTTATCTTCACCTGCTTGAATCAAATACACTAATTCAACTATTACTTTATAACTGACTATATAGTCTAATTGGTAAAACACAGTCACAGTTGTTATCTTCACCTGCTTGAATCAAATACACTAATTCAACTATTACTTTATAACTGACTATATAGTCTAATTGGTAAAACACAGTCACAGTAATCTTCACCTGCTTGAATCAAATACACTAATTCAACTATTACTTTATAACTGACTATATAGTCTAATTGGTAAAACACAGTCACAGTTGTTATCTTCATCTCCTTGAATCAAATACACTCATTCAACTATTACTTTCTAACTGACTATATAGTCTAATTGGTAAAACACAGTCACAGTTGTTATCTTCATCTCCTTGAATCAAACACACTAATTCAACTATTACTTTATAACTGACTATATAGTCTAATTAGTAAAACACAGTCACAGTTGTAATCTTCACCTGCTTGAATCAAATACACTCATTCAACTATTACTTTATAACTGACTATATAGTCTAATTAGTAAAACAGTCACAGTTGTAATCTTCACCTGCTTGAATCAAATACACTAATTCAACTATTACTTTATAACTGACTATATAGTCCAGTTAGTAAAACACAGTCACAGTTGTAATCTTCACCTCCTTGAATCAAACACACTAATTCAACTATTACTTTATAACTGACTATCTAGTGTAATTAGTAAAACACAGTCACAGTTGTAATCTTCACCTCCTTGAATCAAACACACTAATTCAACTATTACTTTATAACTGACTATATAGTCTAATTAGTAAAACACAGTCACATTTGTAATCTTCACCTGCTTGAATCAAACACACTAATTAAACTACTACTTTATAACTGACTATATAGTCTAATTAGTAAAACACAGTCACAGTTGTAATCTTCACCTGCTTGAATCAAACACACTAATTCAACTATTACTTTATTACTGACTATATAGTCTAATTAGTAAAACACGGTCACAGTTCTCATTACCTATTGATAAAGGATATTCTGGTCTGAATGTGTATACATGTATCGACGTGGTTCTCAGTGACTATAGATAAAGGCTATTCTGGTCTGAATGAGTATACATGTATCAAAGTGGTTCTCAGTGACTATAGATAAAGGGTATACACATTCAGATCAGAATAAAAGTATCGACGTGGTTCTCAGTGACTATAGATAAAGGTTATTCTGGTCTGAATGTGTATACTAGTATCAAACTGGTTCTCATTGACTTGGATAAAGGTTATTCTGGTCTGAATGTGTATACATGTATCGAAGTGGTTCTCAGTGACTATAGATAAAGGTTATTCTGGTCTGAATGTGTATACAAGTATCAAACTGGTTCTCATTGACTTGGATAAAGGTTATTCTGGTCTGAATGTGTATACATGTATCAAACTGGTTCTCATTGACTTGGATAAAGGTTATTCTGGTCTGAATGTGTATACATGTATCAAAGTGGTTCTCAGTGACTATAGATAAAGGCTATTCTGGTCTGAATGAGTATACAAGTATCGAATTGAATCATTCTTTATTTGCCAAACATCAATTGTTTTTTTAAGCACAAAGCTTCACATTGCTTTATCTGTCCACTGCAAAGAATTGTGATCATTAACTTACTACTGAACTACTGGGGAGGCTGCTACACATAGCCACAACTAATATTTAACACAGCTACTGACAACTCTTGTCTCAGTAGTGTGATTTGTTCATCTATGGTACCAAACTGTGGAACCATCAACCATAGAATTCAATGTTCAAGCACACCCAACCCAGAACAATTCATGAGGGAGTATGTGGAAGACTTGTACTGGAAATATTCTATTTCATGTTTTAAAGTGTCTCTGTATTAGTATTCAATACCGTAAACTGCTGTTAAGGTTAATTATTATTATAGGGTTTCTTTACACCCACTAGTGTTATGGTTAATCATTGTGTTAGAGTTTCTTCACACAAACTACCGTTAAAGTTAATCATTTTATTAAGGATGATTAAACAAACCATTATTAAGGTTAATCTTTATGTTAGGGTCCCATTACTCAAACTAGTGTTATGGTTAATCATTGTGTTAGGGTTTCTTTACACCCACTAGTGTTATGGTTAATCATTGTGTTAGAGTTTCTTCACACAAACTACCGTTAAAGTTAATCATTTTATTAAGGATGATTAAACAAACCATTATTAAGGTTAATCTTTATGTTAGGGTTGATCTTTGTGGGAGTAAAATCAACTTCATGCTTTCTTGGAGTATAACATAACATTTTGGGACATCATGGGACCTATTGATCCATCTCGGCTATACCATACTCTCAACTACTCTTAAAGCAAGCCCTTATCATTAATATACTTATCAAGCTTTTTCTTAAACTCACTTAAATTTACTGCCTCTACAACATCTGAATGCAACCCATTCCAAAGGCCAACCACCCTGTTAGAAAAATGAAGCTGTCTTAGCTGAAGATGACTCCTACCTTGCCAAAATTTATATTTGTGTCCTCTAGTCCTACAGTCCTTACTGTTAGATATGAAAATATGGTTTGTTCAGCAGCTAAAGCACAAGTCATAATAACGAGATAAAGACTGTAAATATGGTTTGTTCAGCAGCTAAAGCACAAGTCATAATAACGAGATAAAGACTGTAAATATGGTTTGTTCAGCAGCTAAAGCACAAGTCATAATAACGAGATAAAGACTGTGAATATGGTTTGTTCATCAAGGACAGAACAAGTCATAAGTATGAAATAAAGACTGTGAATATGGTTTGTTCATCAAAGACAGCATAAGTCAAAAGTATGAAATAAAGACTGTGAGTATGGTTTGTTTATCAAAGACAGAACAAGTCATAAGTATAAGATAAAGACTGGATATGGTTTGTTCAGCAGCTAAAGCACAAGTCATAAGTATGAGATAAAGACTGTGAATATGGTTTGTTCATCAAAGACAGCATAAGTCATAAGTATGAGATAAAGACTGTGAATATGGTTTGTTCATCAAAGACAGTACAAGTCATAAGTATGAGATAAAGACTGTGAATATAGTTCGTTCATCAAGGACAGTACACGTCATAAGTATGAGATAAAGACTGGTTATGGTTTGTTCAGCAGCTAAAGCACAAGTCATAATAACGAGATAAAGACTGTGAATATGGTTTGTTCATCAAAGACAGAACAAGTCATAAGTATGAGATAAAGACTGTTTTTATTGTTATTATTTTAAAAGGTAGCAAGAACTTCAAACAAATATTGGTATCAAAATTTTACAAATGGTCGAACTTTAAAATCTGCATGGAACAACTGGTCCTAGGTACGAGATAATCTTTCGAAGGTTTCCTGCCAGTGAGATGAAAGCTGTAAGAATTAGCGACATCTATATCAAATATCGTAAAATACAATCAAGTTTTAGTTTTCCACATAATACGTACATTTTGAAAACCTATTTTAGTACCAATATGTAACTTTAAAATTTTTGTTCAACATTAGACAAAAATATATTTTAATTGGCTTATTTTAATAATGTTATGACAATATGCTGTGACTAGAAGTTTAGATGTTTTGGACATTTAACATCAAACAAAGTTAAATCTTCACTTAATGCTGTGACTAGAAGTTTAGATGATTTGGACATTTAACATCAAACAAAGTTAAATCTTCACTTAATGCTGTGACTAATGTTTAGATGTTTTGGACATTTAACATCAAACAAAGTTAAATCTTCACTTAATGCTGTGACTAGAAGTTTAGATGATTTGGACATTTAACATCAAACAAAGTTAAATCTTTACTAATGCTGTGACAAGAGTTTAGATGTTTTAGGACTATTTAACATACAAACTAAGTTAAATCTTTACTTAATGCTGTGACTAA